TTGACAAATATTTGATTCAATTTGATTCGATTCGATCAAATTCAAATTGATTCAAATTGATTCGATCAAATATTTGAATTCAATTTGATTCAATTCGATTCGATTTGAAAAATCAAATCAAATTCAAATTGCTTAAATATTTGATTTGATTGGATTTTGAGGAACCCTAGTACAAATAATGGTTTAATCAATGAAATACGATTTTATGCATATTTCAAATTTTAAATTGGTAATTTGTAAAGATAAAAAAAATAAATTGAAATTTATAAAATAAAAAAAGATTTAGAATGAAAAGTCAATTTTAAAGTAAAATAAATAAAAAGTCTATTTTATTATATGATTTTAGACGATTACTAAAAAGAAAACATTAAACAGTTACCAGTGTTTCAATAATTTGATACATTTAAATGTTAATAAACAAATTACATTTTATGTAATATAAAAAAAAGAAACGATAGTATTAAATTCGTTAAACAATTTTTTAACTTATTATATAAAATAAATAATTTTAAAAAGTTTCTTTTTAAATAAAAAATTTTTTTTATGACAAAGTTTAAAATTTATTATATTTACATTAATATAAAGCAAAATGAAAAGAATATAAAAAGTTGAAAAAATTGGAGTTATAGGCCAAAACGAAGAAGCTGAAATTCTTTCTAATCAAAAAGAAGTTGTGGAAGGTGAAGAGGTTGTAGAAGAGGAAATCATACAAAAAAAAGTGGGCATGGAAGAGGAAGTATCAAACCTACTACAACTACAATTATTTATGACTCAGATTTTATACATGAAGGTGAAAATAATATCAAAAAAGGTCATGATATAAGAAAAGAAGATAAAAAGATAAATAATGAACTTTTTGTTCCAATCGCAAATATTGATGATTCATATTCAAGCTATAAAAGAAAAATGAGTTTTGGAAAAATTTCTCTTAATGATGTTAATGTAGAAGAATTAAGTCAATAAATCATTTTACAATAACTAAAAAATTAAAAATTTAATTATATTAAAATTTAACGTTAAGGTAATCAGAGATGAATAAAGAAATACAATTATGCAGAACTAATAATTCGTGATGATCTCGATATTACAAATAAATCAAAAGTTGGGTAAGTAAATTATTTCGTCTTACATGATTAACATTTTGTATTAAATAAAGAAATAACACTTTTAATTTTAACAAATAGAAAATATAATTGACAAAAGAAAAATACAAAAAAGTAAATTTGTGGTAATTAGGATTAGGTTTTCATTAATTGCTAATATTTTAATAATTTATATCAGAAAAACCTGAAATTTTTAAAGATATGACAACTGTTTTCAAAGTTTGTCATTGGTTAATGAAGATAAGGTATCATTAATATTTTATTGTATGTTATTTATATTGATTATTAATAATTAATTTTTATAACTTTATTATATAGAAGCTTGCACGTCTTTGGCAGAGAGCCACTGGATGGATCTAATGAAAGGCTTATCACTAATATATTTAATTATGATCTATACAGTAATGAAACTGTAGAGATCATATATCATTCTAAGTGAGTATTTTCAGACTTTCGCAGCAAATTTAATAAAAGAATAGCTTCAATAGCACTTGAATTTAAAAATAGTCAATTAAGATATGAATAAACAACTGCTCTATCAAGAACTAATATTGATGAATTTATAACTCAGATGTCACTAAATAAATAAATATTAAAGAGATATTTGAGCGGCACTAATATAAACAAACTCAAGAAATGTACAAACTCATAATATTAATAAAAAAGGTATTCAAGATATATTACGATAATACAATATTCAAGCCATCAAGAAACTTGATTATTTTACAATCAATTGCAAAGTTCCAGCAAGAACATTACATCAAGACTTATGCTTTAAAATGTATCTTTATTATGTAGTGGTATATACTTATGTTTTATTTTTTCTTTCTTATTTGCTATATTTTCAAATATAAAGTAATCAAATTTTTATCAGCTTTATTGTAATACATAAAAAAATTGATATAAAATATTATTTTAATAATAGCATTTTATCGGCTTTATAGATTATTTTTTTTTCTAAAAAGGTAAATATGGATTTTATATAGCTGTTGTAAAGTAGCAAGGTAGAAAAGAAGTAGTTGCGATTTTATTTGTATGTATAAAAAAATTATTAAAATAACTTTTTATTCTAAAATTAAATATTTTTAATATTAAATATCTTTATCATTTCTATTGGTTAACAAATAAAAATGCCACTAGCATTCAACTATAAGTCACATGATAATCGCAAGCGCTCGCTAAATCAGCAGTTTCAATAAAGTATGTATTCTGTTATCGTTATACAAGATAATATTTTGAATTTTTTTTACAAATTTTATTTTTACAAAATTTATGATAATGTTTGATAGTAAAAATAAAGGTAAAAATATAATAGAAAGATTTAAAAATATTTTCACCAAACAAAAAAAAGGAATAAAAGGTAACTCAGCATAACTCGAATGAGTTTATTTAATGATATTCTAAAATTTTTTTCATAAATTTATAGAGTCAGTTTCGGATGCTAAGGAAACATCCTCTTTAGAAAAAAGAGGAAGTACTTCCTTCTATGTGTTATTAATCATATTTAATGTTAAAATAATTTATTAATTTTATTTTCTGAAAATTAAATTTTATCAAATTTAACATCCCTTCAATGGTTTTCCTTCCAAATTTAGAAGGAATCTTACTTACACTTTAAAGTTAATTAAAATATATTAAAAATTAGTTATTAAACTAATAATATTATTATAATAAAATTTATGATATTTTTTAAGTAAAATCAAA